AATGTAAGAACTTGACTGTGATCGATCAGATTTGTATGGTAGCTACATACTAAAGTGATCCCATACCGGCTGTTTCCAATGAGCAGACTTTTTGGGATAAAAGAAAGTATGCAGAATTTCAGATCGATGTCTCAAAAATGGAGGGACTAGTTCGCATACATGCAGACAGACGGACACGTCACTTATTACGCTGATCATTTATATGCATACATATGTATATAGATACTTTGTAGGGCAACCCAAGTTTCCTGTTACGAACTTCGTGACCCACTCACCACCCACAGGGTACAGAAATATATTAGTTATAGGATTATATACAGTTGGAATTTTCAAAAAAACCATTATTTTAATTTTATTTTCTTAGTTTCATATCGTTGGGGTGAATATTTTCGAAATTACACGAAAATTTGAAAAGCCGTTTTAGAGTGTGCATTATAAACTCTAAAGGGTTTTTTTTTCAAAATAGTGTTTCCAAATTCGGTGACCAACAAATTTTACCACGAAGTTCTCAAATATATATTTTTAGTGATTAATGGAAGATTTTTTCAAAGCCAAACTTTTTGTCAAAAAAGTTTTTTTTTGGAAACTCTTCCTTAATGTGAAAAAAATTCAATTTACTTAACCCTACGACTAATTACTTGGACTTTTTTAAAGTGAGGATAATGATTTTAATAGCCTAACAACATCATATTGTTTTAGATATAAAACTATGGTACCTAACAAACAGTTTTCAATTCTACCTTCTCCGTTCGCTAACCTTTATCCTCTCGGCACAAAATTTAAAATAAAATACCTTATCGAAATCAAAATATCTAAGAAATAAGCTCTAATTCATGAAAGTTATAAATATAATTTTTTCTTTTTTAACTTAGGCTTACTTCCAAGCAACTCCTTCTATTTCAAAAACCAATTTACCGCAAAATAAAACAGTTTCTTTAAAGAAAAAGCGGTATTTTAAATTATGTGGAACATAATTCGGTGACTGGAAAAAAGTGATGCAATTTTTAAGGGCGTACAGGGTACGAGACAGTATAATATTAGTCGATTTTTGAAAATTAAAACGTTATATGCACGCCATCCGAGACGGCGTTAAAATAGTGGGCTACTGAGTAATAAAACCTAAAAAAAAGTTCTCACTAGAAGATATTGTCCGTACAATGATCTGAGATCGAAACCTATCGAAATGTGCAAAAACAATTGAATCGATTTTTAATTTCACACAAGGTCTGCCTCATAAATAGTGGCCTTTAGACCCGATTTAATCAAACCGAAAAAATTGACTGTAAGTACTGAGAAAAATTTGCCTGAAAAAAGGGCTAGAACACTCAAATGACACAATGCCACAATTGTAACGGGTGACCCTGGTAGAGGAACTTTTCCCGCGCAATTCTTGTCAATGCTGTCATTTTATTTTTCTTCTGTATCGATTGGCCAAAAAGATCGTGTGATATCACATCGTTAGACTTTTTTGTAGGGGTATGTAAAGTCTAAATAGACAATCCCGCTTTCATTAAGGCTTTGGAACAAAATATCACGTGTATCATTCGCCAGTTACCAGTCGAAATGTTCAACAAAGTCATTGAAAATTGAACTAAACGGACGGACCATCTGAAACGTACCCGCGGCCAAAATTTGAAAGAGATAATAAACATTTTCCATCATAATTGAAGTTTCATTAAAAAAAGTTGCGAATCTCGAATTCGATCACACTTTATAAGCAGATATTTTGTTAAATAATAAACTACAAACAGAATATAATAAATAACAATGAGATAGACGTCACCAAAAAAATAAGAGCTTTAGGTAATATACGTACACATATTACGTTGAATACTTTATTATTGCAAATACTTTAGGAGGACTTCTTTTTAAGGGTCCGTAAACAGTTTTCGACATACATAGTTCAGCGAATTAAGAGACAGCGGTTACGCTGGTTAAGTCATGTCGTCCGAATGGATGAAAACACTCCAGCTCTGAGCGTATTTGACGCACTATCCGCCAGGGGAAGCAAAGGAAGACCTTCACTCCGTTGGAAAGACCAGATGGAGAAGAACCTGACTACACTTGGAATTTCCAATTGGCGCCAAACAGCCAAAAGGAAACGACCAATGTAAACTCAGCTAAAACCACCAGAAGAAGAAACAGTTTTCACCTATGGATTAGAAATTCCAAAAGAAGTTACCTCTGCTATCTAACGATGAATCTATAAGCAGCCACATATCCTATGGGTTTTTTTACTTTCAAGAATAATTAATACAAGTATAATTGGCAAGGCAGATTTATATGCGCCCAGAGAATACAAATGAATTTATTAAAAATATACTTGCTTTTTAAAAACAGTCCCACTAAATAACTACAATAATCCCTATTGAAAACAAAGCTATTTAAGTAAAAATTAAATGCTATGATCCGCTAGATGTAAAGTCATGCTGTTCGCGCTTTCCCTTTGGGGGTGACTTCTACTTACAGTAATCATTTAAAGTTCAATGCTGTCAATAAGCAGATAAACTTAGAACATACGTGTGCACATTTAGGTATTTCTACAACTCAGCAATATGTTAATAGGGTTCTATACAGTTGTACAAAACCGAAATTGCATATTTCCACGTGCTGCTGTGAACTCTATCAATGAGCGAGTCGTAAATCAAAGCAGCCGCGGCCCATTGCAAGCGCTGACGATGGCCTTTATTTTTATGCACATAAGCGCAAATGAGACGTGTTGGTTAACCCATTATGGGGCACTTAAGGCGGCGGCATGATGCGTGAGTTCAGCATGGGTTTTATAATTTTAAGTGTCAGTAAAACTAAACCGAATAATATTAAACTAAATGAGCCGCAACAACAAGCGCACATACCTAACAATGACAACAGACACATTACACACAAATATACATATTTCTTTTTATATGCATGTGTGAGTATGTGCACGTTGCTGCGGCGCCAATTCCCTAACGACACCAATATCCATTTCATTAGTGGCCGTGATGCACAACTCGCTGTGATTGGGGTTAGCTATGGGCGCTCAAACACACACCCATGCATGCAGTGTCGTAATCATATGTGGGTGTTTGTGTTATTGCTGTTGCTGTTGCTGCGAGTTATCGCTTAGCCTTTGGCGCGACCCTGCTATGCCCTCTGTGCATGGCTGCGGAGCTAATAAATAGCAATAATGTCACCTCTTTTGATAAACACACAAAATAATGCGCCACAGCCGTTTGTCATATGCTGCGCACTCATAAATTCTGAACACCCGCTTTACGCGTTGTTGTTATTGTCGATATTGTTATGCCATTGCTACCGCTCGGCCACTACTGCTTCGCTTCCATAATCATAAATTAGGCATTGTGTCAGTTCGAATTTGGTTGAAATGTTGCGTGGCAGCAAGCTTTTCTGCATTGTATCATGCCCCAAAGTGATGTTGCATATGTAGTACGGTACTATGTATATACGTATGTATGTACATATGTACATATATATTTGCCCTTATTGAAAGCGAAATTTGTGAAAAATATGAAATTTTTTATTAGAAATTACGAGAGTGTTTACCAAATTCATCAAAAAAAACATTAATTTATTAAACTTCAGTTCCTCATAAATATCTGTTACACGTAATATATGCCAAACGAGATTTTGTATGTACTTATGTCCTAAATGTAAAAATATTAGCAAAATTCGCTCAGTTAATAAAGGTAGTTTGAAAATTGGTTTCATATTCTTTACTGGATCGAGGAAGAAGTTTAGGTAATATTAAAAACCAAAAGTAGTATTTTTATTGCTTTTAAAACTGAAAAACCAATTTTTAATGCTTAACTTTGTATTTATTATAAATTTATTATGTAGTTGTGTGCTGAGGCGAATGCAGAACTTCTTTCTGGGCGGGGTATTATAGAAAATTTTTCTTTCCAACATCTTTTTAATATTGATGATAGGTAACAGACTCTGTGATTCGATCTACCTCATAAATTAAAAATTGATAAAAAAAAATGATTTTCTAATTTTATTTTTTTTTATTTTCACGAAAATGCGGTGCCATAAGTTGATGCGAGCACTAAGCGTCATATCTATGCCTTAGCCACGACTATAACTTTGAGTCAGGCAAAGGGTGCAAAGGAGTTGCACTTGAAATATGATGCCAAAGTTCGGATCCCAAGACTTTTACCGCGGCATAAGTATTGCATTTTTCGAAAAATATAAGTTTTGGGAGAATGAATTTAAAAAAATTATATTCAGTGTTGAGAGAAAGTTTAATTTGGATGTTCTATGTATGGGCAGCTTTGAGCTCCCAATGAAAGTCCCCGATTTGCTTTGTATCTGGTCGAATTGATTCACAAATGTATACGGATCTCCTTGAAAGTGAGCCTAAATCATTTGCGGAAATGTTTCATGCTGAAGACTGGATGTTTCAGCGAGATAATACACCTATATATGTTTCACACGAAGTCAAAAGTATCCCGTTATTGGATTGGACAGCTATAAGTCTGGACCTGAATCCAAATGAGCATCTTTAGGGCATTCTTTCCTCAAAAGTTTAAGGAGGTGGACAACACTTTGAAAGCTTAAAAGAAGTCATTGTTGTGAAAGGGCAGCTATCGGAATAAGTGTAACCTAATTTAAAATAAAGATTTAATTAAGACACTAAAAAAAAGAAATAAATATAATTGTTCGGAATAAAAATCTAAGAGGAATCAAATCAAAAGAAGTATGTATAAATAAAAAGTATAATAAATATTTAAAATATTAAAATTTTTGGACCAAATAATTTGACAAAAAACTGGAAATAAAAAGTCAAAGAATTGTGAGATATAGCTTCAAATTTACAGGCGCTCCTTTTGTGCTTCAAATTATCAAAGCGCAACTCAACATTTAACTGAAATACAATTTACATACATACATATAGTTTTTTATGTTTAGAGAATATTATCAAGTATTCTTATTTAACACAATTTCTATAAAATTAACTAAAATTCAATTTTCTTCTTTGCCGTCAATGCTCTACACAGTTTAATCAGGATCTGTACTCCTCATCTGGCGTGCAATTGGCCTCATCCAGCGCCTCTGGCAGCTCACACTCACCCTGCAGTCCCATACTACCGCCGGCGGTGAGTGCGAATGCCGCCGCTGCAGCAGTAGCGGCCGCACACAATACCGCCGCCGCAGTCGTCGCCGTAGCAGCGCAAACCGCCAATCAGTCGGCGAGCTTAAGCGCAACGACGAGTCTGCCACTGGGCGGCAGCAGTGGCAGTGGAGTGCCCGGCAGCGGTGGTGGCGGCGGCGGTAATGTTGGAAGTGCTGGAGTTAGTGCGGGCATCGGCGGCTCTGTGATCGGTGGCGCTGGTGGAGTAGTGCTCAGCGGCGGCGGCGGTGGCAGCGTAGCGGTCAAYAGCGCGATACAGCACAGCAGAGCGCATACCAAAGAAGAGGATCTGGGGGTGCCACGAAGTGATGCCGAAGGTAAGTGTAAGCGGTTAATAAACTATGCATGCCAAACTTGAATCTTACAAATTATTTTTTTTTTTTATGTTTTTGTGTGTATACCTATGAAGTTCGCGGCACGACATTGAAAAATATTTAAATTTCACATCGGCATTCGCCAAAGAATTTTCATGAGCGCAAAATTTATGCGACATCTAATCATTGCTGGCGAATTCTACAAATATTTTTACAAGTTTTTGTTTTTGTTTTTGTTTCAAAGCGATCAACCTAACTGGTGCACACACACATATATACATATGTGTACGCGCTCTGACTCAAACGAAAATCCACTGAAATATGTGTAGTTGGCGGGCAGGTGTTGGCAGTGAATTCCAGTAGCCGCATTGCGCCTTGATCGGAATGCGGTTGCGCACTCTTTGGTGCGTCGCGTCGCGTCGCGCCGCTTAGGCGAGCGTTTTGCAGTTTAAGTCAAGTCAAGTCCATCTGAATTTTTCACATTCCACAGACGAATTTTTAATATATTTACTCCACATACATACATATCTACATATTTGCGCACATCTACCATATATCTATATACAAATGTATATCGTTATGTAGTTATACATATGTATATGTATGTATATGCATGTGCGTGAGCTTTTGTGGTTGAATGCGCGTGCGCCTTAGTGACAAGTCCGTTGCCACTGCTAATTAATTTGCAAAAATTTTTCAGATTTTTCAATGTCATTAACTCTCGTTTCCATTAATTTCGTTTTGATTGCCCATCTCATCGCACATTCGTGTTGGAAGGAAGTGTTCAGAAATATTTCAAAAATTAAATAAATTAAATGTTTATTACTAAATTTGTTGGCGAATTCAAACAGTCAAATGCCTATTTGACTTTACTAAGTCGGAGGTGTTTAATCTACAAGCTGCACTGATTTATGTGGTTATGCTTTAAATGACAAGCGAAATGTGTTTCTTCCGCGATTTTTTACGATGGCACATATACAAGCACATACATATGTACATAACTACATGGTTGGTATATATGTATATGTTGGTTGTATTAACTTTTTAGTCAACTAAGTTGTTGCGTGAAATCAACAATAAACTTGTTTGTGACAGCAAAAAGTCTTGTGATTTTCTTATGTTTATATAGATTAACTAGGTTACGCTGCGCGTAAAGTGGATCCAATGAGCCGCAGGGGAATATTCATGAAATAAATTTATTCATAAATTAAACTCATCATAATTGATGCCCATACAGTCTGGCGGTAAAAATCATTTATATTATTTTATTTCCATTAGAGCGGTAAGTCCCATGGGTCGTAACTAAGGAAGTAAAGATTCACATATGTCTAGCGCTTTGCCAAAAATTAATCCCAATCTCACAGCCAAAATCGGTTTTCATAATGCTCAAACTTGTTACTCTACTGAAGAAGTGAAGAAAAATTATTGTTTATTGCTCTGCAGCAGTCAAAAGAACATCTCGTGAGCTAAAATACAAAACAGCGTATCATCAAAACTCAAATTATGTATGAGTGTGTGGTAATCAATACACAACCCTTTTGTAACCGAAATACAAATTTTGTTTCAATAGGAGTGTATGATAACCAATATATAACCATTTTATAACCAAAACTGAAATTTTGTTTCAATTTCAGCGGTTTCTATTACATCGTTTTTCCTTCGCCTGTAAACTTATTAAAAGTGATGTTACGTTATTATGAATTTTACGTGACAATATGTAACTACGAAAACAATTCCATAAAATTTTAAGAGTCCTTCGAAGGTTTTTTAAGACGCTTCTAATTTTTAAGGGCTTCTCATTTATCAGCACACACAAGGAGTATGAGATCCTCTTCTCTCGTTTCCCAATAAATTACTTCAAAAATCTAAATGAATATTTAAAATGTATTTCCTTCAATAACTGACAGCGTTGGTTGATGATTGTGTAAAAATTTCAAGTCGAACGTTCAAGTCATTTTCGAAAATTTTTCCTCAACATTGCAGTTAAATATGATTTCAAATATATTAGTATAATAATTTCCATTGCAATTTTAATATGAATTTTTCTTAATACACTGCATTTTTTAGTACAATTTTCTAAGCATGCTTTCCTTATATTCACAGCACGTCTGGTGGGTTCGCATCACAACGAGTCCTCCTGCTCATCGAGTCCCGATTCACCTCGTCACAACTTGCATGGAGCTCAGGCCAAGGAGCTGCCCCTGCCGTTGGACACATCAAATGTCAATGGACAGGGCAGAGCACAATACTTATCAGCCACCTGCGTCGTATTCACAAACTATTCCGGCGACACGGCCAGCGTGGTGGATGAGCACTTCTCGCGTGCGCTCAACTTCAACAACAAAGACAGCAAAGGTGAGTTAATAAAATAGTCGAATAACAGGCAATTAAACACATATTTCTGCAACAATGCATATTTGTGCATGGAAATGTGACCGCACACATACACATACATATGTACATATATGCATACTACAAATCTATGCATATTTGGCAGTGTAGTTTGAAGATGGTGTTGGCGATACTAAAGCGAGAAACACTTGCAACTGCATATTTTCCAAAGAAAATGCGCTGCATGCAGTAGAGTAAATATATGGATGTGTGTATGTGAGTGTGTGTTAGTTGTGGTTCCTCTTGCGGCAATTTTTCCATGAAAATCGTACTTGGAAACTGCCGCTTTTTGGGATCGCTCGTCGCTCGTGAAAGTGCGAGGCTCGCACCAATTTCGCCACTTTGATTTACATGACTAATGATGCCTTTTATAATGCGGCACGGCTGATTGGCAACGTGGTTGTGTAGTTGTGTGCATGGCGCTTTTGTGATGATCAAAAAGCGGCTGCTGTCATGTAACTGTCAGTGCAGTGGCACAACGTACGCGCCTGTCTCGGTTAGCCGCCAAGTTTGGAGGGCGCGTAGTAAGGGAGATGTGTGTACGAATACAAAAATGTGTTAAAGCGTTAAAGAAACTCCACTTTTCTTGTACTTGGCGCTTGTCAACCCGCGAAGCGCCTCTTCTCACGTGTTTACATACTTATTAACATACAAAGCTGCCATGTCATAATGAGTGTGTACAAGAAATTAACACGAGTTTTGCTTAAATTGTTCCTGTTGCCTCAGTTTGATATCTCAATATTGCACGTCTGCTTTGTATTGTTTGTGATTCTTTCGCAAAACAGCACTTTCTGTCGCACACAATAACTTCATAAATTAGTCAAGGCGTGGCGTTGCAGTCGCTTAACCGCTCAACCGCTGTCACCGCTGCTGCTGCTTGCGCTGTCATTGCCAGACACTTGCTGCTTGTTCTTTTCGATTTCGCTAAATTAATTACCGCATTTAATGAAGATAAACGCGTTGTCTTAAGCACATGACTTGTCTTTTTTCCCGTCTTTCAACGTTTCATTTCACCCCTTGGCGGTTTTTCAGCCATTTAGTTACTTTTACTTTCACGTGTCTCGCTGCGCGTCTTCTTCAATTTTCATGTTGCATACTTTTTGCTTGTTCATCAGCGTGTTCGAACTCATTACCAAAAATGTTTTTCACCAAAACAGCCAGAAAGCTTCAAGTGCAATACATAAACAAAACATTTTTGGTGTGTTGTTTTGCTTTGCGGTTGTCATTGACTGCACCACAGAGTGTCAATACAATTGATTTATTTGACACAAATGAGTTTTGCTAACACAAACAATAACTGTTGTTAATAATAGAGTGTGGGAGGTGTTGTCTAACAAATTATTAACTTACTTTTTATATTTTTTTGACCTTGAATTAATAAGTGCAGCTATGAATGTATTTTAAGTCTCAAAAATTGAAAGTCTTAACACTTCGTGGAAATGATGGTTCAACACTTAAATAAAAATTTAATATTAAATTAATATTTTAATTCTCAAGAGGAAATTCACAAAAAGGCCATTCAGAGTAGTCCTTAGATTATTACCCGCATTAAGCTAAAATTTGTTTTTTTATCTCTTTGAGATAATTTTTAACAGAAAAATCTTCCTCAATTTGCCTCATTTTTTTTTTTTAATTCTTAAAATGAAAGCTCTTTATAGACCTCTGAAAAATGCACAACAAATTCGGCGGGATGATTACTGGCTGCCGGAGCATCTACAAATAGAGCCTTCGGGCATAGCTCTGTGGATAATAGCGGTTCGACAAACACAGACTACAAGATCCCACTTTTTCAACTGGGAAAGAAGGTTTAAAGTAAATATAGAAAAAGATGGTTGGTTCGAAAATGGACGATTGGCATAAGGCAGCCTTTTAAATTACCGGGCCACTGCTGTATATTTCAAGCTGAGGTTTTTGTTAATACTGGGCTCTAATGCCCCTTCAGACATTTTCAAAGTCAACATTTACGTAGACTTATTAGCGAGATGTGTTTTGGGAAGCAGGGTAGAAGTGAAAAGTGTTGCCAGAAGCAGGCAACTTCACTTCTACTGGGTACCAGGCCGCAAAGACATCGAGGGTAATGAAATAGTGGACGAGATTTCCAAGAATAATGCGCAGCTAACACCCGAAAACGTGATCAACATTGGAAAACCCATGCATTGTCCATACGACGATCTGAACAGAAGCATGGTAAAAATCAAATCCACATAGAACGAGCTAGCTGGGGCAAAACTGCAAAAGTCATGTGCAAAACGGTAGACCGGAGGTACACAAAATTCCTATTGGTACCCGATAGAAGAGACTGTAGAAACATAATCGAAATACTAATTGGTCACTGTCTGTGACATACTATAAAATACACACGCCCTCAGAATGGGGTTGAAAGATCGAGAAAATGTATAGAGCAAGTCAGAAGGGAAAGAATAGAGCACCTCTCGTGCTCTTGTACCGCATTAAGAAGACTACGCTGTAAGCATCTATGGTTCCCACGGTATGATACACTGGATCAAGTATCGAGTAAGTTCGCAGAGTCAGTTAAAATCGTGTAAAACGCCGGCATCCTAAAATATGAATACTCCTCATGGACCTAGAAACTGAACTCCGTCGATGGTATCGCAAAGGACTAAAGCTTGTCTCTGCGTGGCTTATTAGATTAACTTAACCTAACCTATATGAGCCAGTTTTTCATTTACTTTAGTGTTATTGTAAAAGGTATATAATATATTAACAGCTTATTTTTTATCCTTTTACTGAAAAACACAATAACAACGTTCGTGTATATTTCCTCAAGATATTTTTTTTTTTCTTGTTACACACAACTTTTTGCACTCATTAACTGGCATACGTTTACCATAATTAAAGTGAAAGTAATTAATTATGCCAAAAATCGATTGCAGGACATATGTAGGTATGTATTTTTGTAATTGCAAGAATCTCGATAATTTCAGTTCTTTAAAGTATTTGAACTTCAACACCAAACTGGAATGTGGCACACTTACAAGAATTCCCCAAAGAGTACAAGCATTTGTAGGAACCTATCCGTAAGTGTGTATGTATGTTCGAATACAGCACTGTACATATGTACATACCTTGGTTGCAAAAAATGCCTTTTTGTATATAATTAATACATACTTAAATATATGTACCGTACGTACGCGCATACATGCATACAAATGATGCTTTAGCATTGGAGTTAAAACGTGGATATAAAGGAAGGAAGGCATTGTGCTGTTAAAATTGTATTTATAAATAATGCCCTTAAAAGAAATAGAATCATTAAAAACGCATTTAAACGATACGCGCACGAGACGGTAATACGAAAAGTATGCATACATATCTTTTGCTGGGTTCATTAAATTTAACAGGGTGGTAGTTTGGTAGGTCTAACAAAAATTAAATCAAAATTTTTCTAAACTCTGTAATAAGTTACTCAAAATCTTCTGGAATAATTGCTAGAAATGGAATTAAAAATAAATATTAATTTATTTTTTAGGGGCATACCTACTGTAGCAGTTCTTTTGAAATTTCACGTATATATTTATAAGAAATCTAAGATAGAAAATAGAAGCAAAAATATTATATATTTTCCAAATTACACACGATTTTCAGTGGCCCTAAAGCAGGTTCTAAACTACTGCAGTGACTCCGGCCTTCTCCATGGATGATACCTTAACAAAAATTCTCTCGAGAAGATACTGTTCTTACAATAATCTATGGTCGAAAAAATAAAAGATAAATTTTACCCAAAAATGTTGGTTGTCTGTGACCTGCTCAAATTCGATTATATAGATTCATCCATAATGTAAGAAAGAAGAAGAAGAGAAAGAATTTGTAAAGTATTCTGAAAAAGTCAATCTTAACTGAATAATGAAATGAAAATAAACATTTTGTGGATTAAAAATTTTTTTAAAGAAATCTTTTATCAAATACTTATATCAGAAATCAATAAACAAAGCACACTCATATATTTTTTCAACCTCAAATCACTAGAAATCTCACAGTGTCATGAAAATTCAAAACTTGAGTAGTGTTATGGCAACGAACAAGCCGTCCAGGGCGTTCCCACGACAATCGGGTCTACATAACCGGAACGAATACAGATTTTTATACGACCAAGGACTTTATCCTTGGCGAAATTTTGCTGCTACATAAACAACAACATAGCAATAAAACAATATTTTCGAGGTTTCCGTCGATAGTGACTCGTATGGTCACAGACTGTGTTCAGAAAACTCATCGAAACCATTTTTTCCATTAAAAATTTCTGTAAAAATTGCCTGAGCCCTATGTATTACATAATTTAGATATGATCCCATCCAGGCCTGAGAAACAGCTGATATTTCCGTACAGACATGCCATACACTACTTGAAACAAGTTACTTCTCAACTACAGGGTTCCGCGCATATTCCAACAATTGAATTATGCTGTTGCTGCTTGTCATTTGTAATTTTTGCTTTTGAAATTTTTCAATTATACTTTTTTGTGTGGTATTTGCATTGGAATGCACCGTTGCAGCGGGCGCAAGCAATGGGTGGTGGTCGCGCTACTGTTTCGGGTTTTCGGCCGCTGCAATGCCAACGCCGCACTGCATTAATTCATTAGTTGCGCGCATAAAACACTTAAAACGAGCTAAAGCGGCGTGCAATGATGCCCAAAAATATCCGCGTGCGCCTTACTTCGATATATGAATGCACATATACATACATACATACAAATATGCAGAAAGATCCCGTGTATGTGCARCGGCTCGAAGTTGAGTTGCTGACGCACTGGCTCGCTGACTCGCTCAGCCATGGCATATTCATGATTCGAAAGCAATTTAATTAGATGCCAACCGAAATTCGATGAAATTCCTTTGTGCGCGCCACAATGCATCGCAAGCAACAAAACTAAGTTGTACAACAATAAGAACAACTAGCGCAGCAGCGGCTAAAACGTGTGCCAACAGCGGCGGAAAAAAAACCGT